GATTTTTAATATTCTTTTTAAACTTTAACTAGAACTTTTTCATGAATTTTAGGGAATTATTGACTTAAACCAAACTCCTGTATTTTGTTAAAAAAAAAAAGCTATTTGTAAGTTAATTTTGTCTTATTTCAAGAGACAAGACGAAAATACTTAGTAAAGATTTTGTGTTTTTGCAGTGTAACACCATATAAAGTGTGACTTTAAGATTTTTTTGTTCTGTAAATCATCATATTTTAACCTCTAATATGTCATCTTCAGGTGGGATCGCACAAACAACCCAGAGCCCTGGAACAAGCTGGAGCCCAATCAGCAGTACAAAGTAAGACATTAAAATAAAACACATGCTCGTTAATAGCTCTTATTTCTTCATGTCAGGTTAAAGCACAACTTGTGCTCTTATCATGCGTCAAAGTCCATGTTGCCTTCCTCACCCTGACTGTGTCCTTTCACGTCTCTTTTTCTCACTCTTCCAGTTTTTCAGAGTCAACATGGATTACTCCAAACTGAAGAAGGACCGGCCAGATTTCTAGGTCCTTCCACAACCGGGGTGCCGAGTTTATGCACTTTTTTGTTTTGCCAAAGTACAAGTTGAATGTTGGTCATTGAGCAGTTGATTATCAGGAAAGGGATCATAAACCTATACAAGTTTGAATAAAAGCAGGCTACCACCTGTTTTCTATTGAGAAATTCTTTTTTTTCTTTTATGTGTTGTAAATTATTAAAACAATTAAAATGATTAACCTCACTGGTATGTTTTTGTTTACATAACCAAAGGTTTTATAATCACAGCTGTAGTCGGGGCGACTATTCAAACTTTTACTTGAATCCTCAATTAGTTTTTCTCCGACAGAAAACGTCACGGTCAGTTTGTCTTGCATTTTGTGGTAAATAATTATCTAATCAAGATTAAAAATAAGTCCCTCCCCAAAGCAAGTTTATTTGAAAACATGCCTCTGCTGAATCACAAAAGGCAACGGATCAGAGATATTAGACTCTTCTTCTTGTTTTTTGTTTACTTGCATCCTTTTTAAATTATTTCTTCCTTCACATGTGTTAAATTGCATTTGATTCAGCAAAACCTTTGAACTATAACTGCAGCTCTTAGTAAATCACATAGAATTGGACAGATTTTGTCATTAAAAATTCCCATCTAATCATTAAAGGCTAACAATATTGACATCACTTGGTTTTTACTTAACATTAAGGTTGAGTATTTAACCCTGGAGCTGTTTCTTCTCCAAGTTAAAATGTCACTGCTTCTGCTTTCACACTAATATTTACATTTCAGCAGTGAGCTGCTCTACAGCATTGCCAGCCAAGTGGAAGCTGTGACTTTTAAAGCAAACTTTGACCTGTCAGAAGCAGAGGATTTCTATTACTAGTATAAAACACTATCATTAGTAAACAGGAAACTGAACCCGCCTGGAAGACTTGCAGGAGTTGGGAAATATCACTCAAAAGTGGAGCAAGGAGCAACTGGACGTGAAGCAAGATGTGACTGTTATACGAAAAACAAACTATGAGACAGAGCTTCATCTCCTATCTACAGCAAAATTTACCTCTGCTGAAAAACTGCAGGGTTGCAAAGAAAGAAAAATAAAACACAGTTCTTGAGCTCAAATAGAGCTTTGGCTCTTTTGTCATATCATATTTTTTATTTTATTTTACCTGGAGTCATTGACTCTGTATGGATAAGTAGATGTACACAATGAACTTCCCACACAGATTAATAAAAATTTATTTTACATGAGGAATGGAGACTATTATAAATAATGCAACACAAATACAATTAAAAACAAACAAGTTCAATTAAATTACATTGAACAGTATGTTGTAGGTTTAATAACTAATTTTAATGAGGAATAATTGAAAAGTAGTAGTCTCATTAGAATAGATTTCTGTCGTGACGAATATGCAAGAAAATCACAAAAAGCTACATTTTTCAGTTCAGTATTCAGACGCTAGAGGGCAGCAACCCACCAATCGAAGCACGCCACGTTGAAGAAGAAGAAGCAGGGTAAAACTTTCTTATCGCGAGACTTCGCTCAAATATAGCGCGGGACCGTTGGTAAAAACATTGATGTTGAACCATAAAACAGTTATGCGAATATCATGGTAATTTAGAGCTGAGTGACAGTAATTTACGCCGTCTTTGGCTCTCTTTGGTTGGTAAAACTTAGCGCTGTTGTGACAGTTTGTCTGTAGCTTCAGCTTGTTGTCAGACGGAGTTTCTCTGAGGTTTGTTAGCTGGTTTTAGCTCGGCAGGCTAATGGATTCCACGGAGGATTTATCCCCTCGAATTCTCCTCAAGCAAATTCTGATCACCGAGCCGCCCAGGACTCCGGTCGGCAGCAGGTACTGTCTTCTCTTTCAGGGAGAAACAGTGTTTGTTTTTTTAATGCATAGTTTCAAAGTGTAAATGACAAACCCCGTCACAACACCCTGCCTTCTAAACAAATGACCACAATCATCGGCACTCCTATTATCGTTACTATGTCCTTTTATTTGGACCCTTTTTTAGCCAGGAAAGCGTTGTACTATAATTTTTTTCTTTTCTCCAGCTTAGACACAGATTTTCTGTATAGATTAAGTAGTAAAAACATAGATTTATGTATGTTCCTGTGTATATTTGGACAATTATCTTTGATAAATACGACCTATTTTCACTTCTCTAACAAACGCCATAAGCTTGTAATAAACCCTTTTGGTATTTTACCGAGTCTTTAAATTTAAGAGTCAGTATAGACTTTATCACAGTGTTTTCTCATTTGTTGAAAAAAGTCTGACAACAATGTACATTTACTGCACAAGAAATTGTCCCAGAAGTTTTTGCGATAAACGATAACTTTGTTTTGAGACCATTTTCTAGTATTATTAAGGAAAGTGCATAATAACGCAAGAACACATTCTCAAAACATCAATAAGCTTTAAATTGTAATAAATTTGAAGTATCCAAAAATAAACAAAACAACAGAAACAGCAAATAAAATGAATTATAAAGTCTCTGTAAACAAATTGTCCTTTAAACCCCCCTCCCCCAAAAAACAAACAAACAAACAAAAACAACAAAAAACGGCTGGTTGAGACCAAAGCAGCAGACTGAAGACTTTTGTCTTCCAGTTTTTGGTAGAAAAAAAGAGAAAAAATATTCATTTTACAAATAGAATTCTTGAGTTTATTTTTAATTTATTATGTAGTTAATTTATTTATTGCTTATTGTGACAGACATGTTGTGTAAAAAGACACTTTGACTTTAAGATGTTACTCTTTGCTGCAATTTGCTAAGAGTTTTGTTTGTTTTGTAACCATATCCAGTCTTATAAAGATATAATAGAAATAGATGCGTTAGTTGTGTTAATAAATGGGAAGTTGTAGGCAGTGCCTATACATTTATGTTACAGACTGTCAGTGAACGCACCAAGAAAAAGACTCTGTATGCATGTTGTGGAGAGCAGACAACATCCATAGACAGATTGTATCCATGTATTGCTGTATGAAAAGCATTTCTTATATCTTGACTAGTAAAGTGACATTGACTCCAATCCAGTGTATTTATTTATGAGTGTGCAAACATCTCAGAAGTCATTTAAATTTAAGAATTGAAAGGTGCAAAAATAGGAATTTTGATTGAAAACGGATAATTTTCTTCTTCTCTGTCTGCATGTCAGTGAGCCCCACGCAGCAGGTAGCAGCGAGCCGCGGCGCAGCAGTAGGCGCAGCAAGAGAGATGCTGAGCCCCAAACGCCACAAAACATCCTGCGACGCAGCCTGAGGAACAAAATCCAGGAGGTGAGAAGAACAGAAACGACTCGGCTGTGTAAGGTGCCGTCAGTTTAACCCTCTAAATCTAACTGTGTTTTTGTTTTCAGAATATAACCAGGAAATCCCTGCCTCTCAAGCGAAGAACTGCCTCCGCTGTGCTCAGACAGCAAGCTCCCTCCTCCTCCATGATGTTTGACGATGGAGAAACTCCCAGGCATTTACTCAGGAAGATCCTGCAGACAGGTGAGTGGATTTATCCGCCTCTCTGGTTCTCAGTGAGGCTGTTGTTTTTGTTTTCCTCTTTACATCCATGTCGTTTGGTTCTGCTTTTCAGAGCCTGCGAAGTCCCCAGTGGTTCATGACAAAGTTGCCCCTGCAGAGCTGCAGCCTCCTTCAAAAGACAATACAGCTACTAGAAGTCACTCTAGGTGTTTTCAAGATGACTGTTTGGTGTAAAATCTAACATTTTTCTGTTTCTCAGCACCTTTATGTTCACTGTTTGTACATTTATGTGTTTATTTTTGTGTCCAGTTTTGACCTGTCGGATCTGGATCTGCCGGATGTGACAATGGGGAACACTGTGAGCGCCGCTAAGGGCCTGAGCAGGAAGAGACCGCGTCAGAGCCTCAACGTCACCGCTTTTGAAAAACGACTTAAAGGTGAAAACAGTAAAGTTAAACTTTACTTATTCATTTTTCTGTGAAAGATTGTAAACATTTTTACTTTTGACCCAGTGCTGATACAGACTCTAGAGTTAACAGAGTCGTTATATTTATGTTTTGGGGATTTTTATTCTTATAGATGCTGAAGAAGAACCAGAAAATTCAATAGGTGATCATTCATCTCTTTCCCTGTCGAGGTAAAGTTAAAAAAAAAACAACAACTTCCAAGTGAAATACCTGTATTTATTTAGTATAAAATGATCTGCATGTTCCTTCTGCCTCTCAGCTCCTCCTCCCTGAGTCTGAAAACCCCGTTTGTTGACGTTCACACTGAGAAGAGAGGCCTTCAGAGACGAGTTTCAAACCGCAGAAAGATCACAGAGGAAGAGTTCAGTGCTGCCCTCAGCAAGCAGCAGATGGGAGGTGATTCTGTCTTTTCACTGCAACCTAAAGCTTCTGTTCATTTCATTTTTCTGATTCTTTCCAGCAAAACTGTCAAACTTGAGGCCCGGGGACCAAATCTGGTCCGCCGTAGCTTTTTTTTGTTTTTTTTTTTGCATCTCTAGACTTAATACAATAACTTTCCTTTTTATTTCGACTCTTTTTGTGTTCCAGATGTGAGCCGTGAGGCACTGCAGGGGCGAGAGGTCGGCGGCGAAGACACAAACCTGGCGGGAATCACGTTGGGTCTGAGCAAACTGAGCGAGCCTGACGTCACGGTTGACATCGTGAACTGCCAGACGGCTCTGTACGACCAGCATGACGCCATGACCTCCAACTTCTCCATCAAACCCACCATCATGGCGACTCAGCTCCAGAGAGACATACAGGAGGAGGAGGAGCGCAGGGAGGAGGAAAGGCAGAAATCGGCTGAAGAAGAAGAAGTTGTGACCAACATGGAGGAAGATGAAGGCAAAGAAAATGTTGATAAAACACAAGATGTTTCATCAAAACCTGAGGAAAAGGACAATGCAGTTGGATTCCAGACTTTTGATCTGGATGATGGAGTTGAGGCTGCAGCCGACTCTCAGTCTGAAGACGTCGAAGGAGGCTCTGAGGAAGAGGAGGCCGCAGTGGGTTCTCAAGCTGAGGAGGAAGGTGTGGAGCAATCCCCAACTCAGGAAGAGACTGCAGCCGATTTTCAGTCTGAAGACGTCGAAGGACTTTCTGAGGAAGAGGAGGCTGCAGCTGAGGAGGATGAAGGTGAGGAGCAATCCCCAACTCAGGAAGAGACTGCAGCCGATTCTCAGTCTGAGGAAGAGGAGGCTGCAGCGACCTCTCAAGCCGAGGATAAAGATGTGGAGCAATCTCAGACTGAGGAAGAGGACGGTCCTCCTGAAAACGCTGCAGCAGCTTCTCCATCTGAGGAAGAGGAGGCTGCGGCTGGATCTCATCCCGAGGATGAAGGTGGATCAGAAGAAGTTTATCAACTCCAACGTGACGACGAGGAAAAGTCGGACGGAGCCGATCGTCAGACTGACGAAGACGATAACGATGAAGAGAGGAATCAGGAGGAAGAGCGACACATCAGTCGCAGGGCTTTTCGCTCAGAGGGCGGCCTTGTTCTGCCCGTCGTCACGGCGACAGAAGGTACAGCTACTCATCTGTAACCTTTACAACCCAAACTCAAATTCTTACCCAAGTTATCAATTTGAGTTTATCTAAAGTTGATTGATATTATCGATCGAATAATGATTTATCGATAGGCGGCCATTTTCTTAAAAACCTCTGGTATCAACAGGTATGACTGTCTTTCCTAAATCTTTCTTAGTATACTTAATTTAACATTATTTTGTGTCAGCTGTATTAAATACTGACTGAATAAACTGAACATTTTGTTGTTTTCACGTTATTAAACTTAAACATATTTATAAAATAACTAAACAGGAACCTCTTAGGCTGCTAAATAGAAAAATTAAACATTAAATCCCCCATTAACAGAGATATGGTCACCACAGTGGCCTGTGGCTGCTGTAGAAGGAATGTTGATGCAATTAATGGGGAAAAGTTTTAACCTTAGATGACCATTAGGCTACATTTTACTGTTGGATCCTCCTTTTCCCTTCGTAGCACGTCGGTCATTTTTGAATAAGTAATTGACGCAGCTCGGCTAAATGAGCGCTATTAAGGTGAAAACTAAAGGATTTTGTTGAGTGTTTTTATTCCAAAGCCGACCCGTAGAAAGTATATTTTGCATCCCGTACCGGACTCTGTCTGGACCGTTACTGTTTACCGTTCCCTTATGGGCGCCATCTTTGATTCTGTACCAGCGGCGCCCTCTGCCGGATGGCGGTCAAACTACAACACTAAAAGAAGGTCAAAGCGGACGTTATTATTCAAAAGATTGGAACTAATTTTAATCTAATAAACCATTAATTGAGAATTAGTCGTATTGCTACGTAACTTTATGAAAACATTTTTTAGAACAGGTGCATATGGATCTGGATGAAAAAAGATGAAGAAAGGAGAATCAAATGTGTTTTTCTTTTTAAAAAACAAATTCCTGCTGTTTTATTTTTACAGCTCACTCATTCATGAAGTCCAAAAGCTACAGTGCTCTGGGTTTGAACACCAGTTTGGAAAGAATTCAGAATCAGACTGGAAAACCAGACTGGACTAAACCTTCGCTCCAACATCTGGACGAAGATTTCTGGGATGAAAACGATCCTGCGGACAGAAAAAACGCCTCGTTCCACCTCCTCCATGTCAGCCATGATGCAGAGGTCAGCAGGCAGCAGGAGGATGTTGAAGCTGCTGCAGAGGAAGCCGGAGAACATGAGGAAGAGTCGGATGAGGAGGAGGATGATAATGAAGGTGAAGGCTCTTACCTTTTAGTTTGTGTGATTCTTCATACTTAAAAAGTGATCATAATTTGGATTCTTTAAAATCCAGATTTCCTAGGCAAGACGCCAGCTTTTGTCAGAGAGAAAATAAAGTTTTTTACCTCCAGTCCTCCAGCATTGCCTTCAGTTTCTAAAAATCTCCCAGCAAGGCAAGTTGCATTTCTTTCTGCAGCGTTGAACAAGCTTTCCCCGGTGAAATCTAACGTTTCTCCTACTTACTGCTTGTTTTTTATCCTTGCAGTAGTGCAAGCAAAGCTTTACCTGCAGCTAAACCAAAGCAGGCGAGACGGCGGCGAACTGGGCTGTCCAGGAGGAAAACGGTCCTACCAAAGACCTACCTGATGAGTGTCTTCAAGCACTTCGCCAAAACAAAAGTCTCTGCAGATGTCTTCCCCGTCCTAAATGAGATGTAACAAAAATTATACTTGTTTTGTTTTTCCAAAAAAAAAAAAAAATCAGCAACTTAATTCTGAAAAGCATTTTTTTAACTCCCGTTGTTTGTTGGACTTTGATTCTGCAGAAATAACCACAAACAGTTTTTACTTTTGTAATCGATGCTTATTGACTTTGTGGCAGAATGGATAAGTTCTTCGACCGTGTTGCTGAGGACCTGGAGACGTATGCGGCTCACGCAAACAGAAAAACTATCAAAGTGGAAGATGTTAAGCTTCTGTTGAGACGGTACGTTTGATTTTACCGCACGTGTCAAACTCAAGGCCC